TCTGCTTGGCCAGCGTCCAGAAAGACCTTACAAATAAAAAAAAAGATCGGAGGCGTTTGCTATAATTTATGTAGGGGTAGGAGTAGTTTTCACCCTTTTTCAAACCGTTTGGGTTTTTTGTAAAAGTAACGTCTATACTATAACTATCTAAAACTGTAATGACTCATCGATGTTCACGTGAACATCACTTAACTACAAGTATTCGGCTGTTCATAGACGGGGTATGAATGTTTAACATGGGTGAACTAGATTTGTCACATGCTTAATAAAGAGTGGTTTGAAACATATTGTAAGTCAAAATTTTGGGAATTACCTTTATTCATCGTCGCTTCCACTTACTTCTGACAGTAATAAACTGTCGCTAACGCTTTTCTCGTTGAAATTGACTATAATTGGCTCTATGATGGTGTCGATGTGGTGGTCAAGCTGCCACATTTTTGTTTCTTCCTTCACAACATGACGGATAGCATTCTGCCAAGCTTCGGGCGTTACTAGCTGTATGGAAGTCTCAAGTAAAACCTTAACGTCTGGTAATTTGAAGGTTGTGTTATGGCGTGCAATATGACCCTTCACTTGAGCCCAGATAAGCTCTATTGGGTTCAGTTCACAGTGATAGGGCGGTAACCGCAGCACAGTGACACCACATTGACGGGCCATCTCATCAGTCACGTAACTAATGTTCGCAGGTTTGTGCTGTTTAATTTTTTCATACAACTCCGCTTTCACACATGAATCGTCAAACGGGTTTCCTTTTTCGCGCAACCATTGCTGCATGTCACTTTTTCGAGATCCCATAGTCGGTACACGTTCGGCTCGACGACTATGGTAGGAAGCATTATCCTTGACGATCACAGATTTGGGCGCAACTCGCTGAAGCACCCCTTGAAACCAGCTCTCGAAGCAGCTGGCATTCATTACGTAATGGTAATCACCTCCTTTCTTAGAGACGAAAATCAAGTCACACTCTTCTAAAAAGCCACTATCGCTACCAATATGAGTTACGATCAATCTTTGACCTTTCCCTGACGGTCCACGAAGACCTGTTGACAAACCTTCAATGCTTGCTTGTCGGTTACTCACTACGTTTTTGTCTACCCAGGTTTTTTTAACTGTGTGACCTGCATTTACCCATGTCTCGTCCAAATAATAGATTTTTCTGCTTTGTCGCCTATATTCAATCATTTCTCGTAGGTATTTTCGACGCCAGGCGACTATTTCAGGTCTCTCTATCAATACCGACTTCCGATTACGCGTTTCGTAACGAAAATTAATTTCGTGCAGGGATTTCCTCATTACCTCGACGCTCATTTGGGGTATAAATTCATTTTCCTTGATCGCTGCATGTACTGCCTTGAGGGTTGGTATCTCATTCCTAAAGAAGAATGAATGTACGGTTCGCCTTAACGCCATTTTGCTATCGTCATCCAATTTAATGGCCTTTCGTCCCTTCAAATTAAACTTTGGATCAGTAGTAGCTCCAGTTTTCTTCTTTTCATGCACCACCCTGCGAATGGTCCACTCTGGAACGCCTGTCATACTTTCACAACGCGCGTGTGCATCTCCCTGCGACATAGTTCTGTTCAGATAATTGAACACGTTGAGCACGATTTCTTTCGCGTCCCTCTTCAGTGCTTTACGAAGCCGTCTACTTGTTCCCTGGCTTTCAGTACTTCCACTCGTGCCATTTGTACTCTCCATGGTTAAGTATAACCAAAACAGTAACCACAGAAACCACAACAATAACAATCACACAACAATTCTTATAAAAACACACAATATGCGATCGCTCAACGAAACACGTTCCAATGCGTTGCCGACGCCTATGAGTCTGCCGGTCGAGGCGCGTCTTTGATTTAATTGGTTCTACCGGCGGAGAACAATCAGCCATTATTTCCATCTCTGTCTGTGCTGTTGACCACCGCAAAGCCACAGAAACGACATATGTCGTACGCTATACGGCTGTACTGGAAGGAAGCCGGGATCGAGCTCTGATCACGTGTTGATCACGCGTATGAGTCATTACAGTTTTAAATAGTTGTATAGCAAAGCACAATCTCAATCCAAAAATATCTGAAAAAATGTTTTCTAACAAAAAAGCTTTGACACCCTCTACCGGGCAAACAAAGCACTTTTGCATAGAGGTAAATAATGTCCAACCGATGAGTCTAAAAATACGTGGCACTTCACCGAGTATGTCTACGGAAAATTGCATACGAAGTGCACTACTACCCAAAAAAAAAACAAGGATAAATAAATATACTTAGCCAAAGGGCGAATATCCTTTACCTTTGCGCAATGAGGAGTACACGTATCGAGAAAAGAGAACCTCGATCGGCAGTGAGGCGTGGAGCTGCAGCCACGTCGCCGTCGTAGCCCTAATTTAGCAGGCGGCAAGGAGAAGTAGGTAGAGAAGTAGGCACTCGTCAAGGTTTTTAGGTCACCAAAAGGAGTTCGTCTGCAGTTGACGCCGACCCAAACCTTCCTTTTCAACTACCACCTACGTGACGTGAGAATTGCAGGCTCTCTTAGAACAGCGGTGTCTTGCTATCACACACGAATATAGTACAAGGAATTTTAGTATTGTGTTGAAATCTTTTGGACACTAAGGGTGGATTTCACCAGGATTGTCAAATCAACAGTGCGTTATTCTCCACCTATAGGGTAACAGTCCGTCAGATACAGCGAATGAGCTTCAAGTTCCAATCAACAAATTTTAGCAATCAATAGCTATGAAATGTTGAAAATAAACTACTGTCACAGTATGAGATGACAGCTTGTCATTGAAACATTACCAGCTTATTGAATATTAAGAAATTACATATAGTTTAGTTAAAATTTAAAAGAAAGAGTGACTAACTTCAGATTACTTTTCTTCTTTGTTTCCTTCCGCTGGATATCGATATTTTTTTCCAATATTTTATCGTATCGATACTTCCTAAAACGATAAGGATCGATACTTTTCGTGAATCTAAACATCCCCAATCTTGACAGCTTGTCGTTCTTGTCAAATGGGCTGCAGGTGCGGTGTTGCCTTTACTTATATTTTGCTAAAATCTTATGACAAATAAAAGCTTCAAATGAAATATTGACGAATATGAACGGATATGGATGCAGATACTTTTACAAATATCGATGTTTTAGGACCCAGAAATGCAAAATGTGCTGTTTGTTTACATTTGCTGTAAATTTCTAGATCATAAATTGGCAAAAATTTTTTTTGATGTAAAAAATATGATGAACCAGTTGGAATACCTTTTATATCCTTTTTTTGCAAAATAACAAAAATCAGTACATTTCGACATTCAGATTTTTTGGAATTAGTTTATTTACATAAATTTCGTCGCATTTTGGGCCTAGTAACACACACATTCGTTAAAAGGGGTCGCTATGAGTAATTTTATGAATGAGTATATTCTTCGAAGCACATGATCATTCACTTCCTGGACTAATACGCGCAGAATTCAAATCCTAATGAGTCCAAGGTGATAGTATCGCATATCAGAACAATGTGTCGCTATCCCTGACTTAATAATAGTTCAAAAGGAGCGTTTTTAATTGTGTCTGCCGCTAACAAGAAGCGGCACACTAGTGCGACGGATGTGAGACAAACAGACAGCAGCACTCTTTCAAGTGTCGCTCGAGTCGCAAGTGTCGTGTTTAAGAGGATCCGCAACGACACGACGACGGCACGTTTGTTATTCCAGCAAAAAATCTGAAAAGGCTAGAGTTGTGTCGTTCCGGTCCGACCCGCCGCAGGGGTATTATGTATAAACGCTGAAAAACGAAAAAAAAACAAAAGTCCATCTTGCGTGCTAGGTAGTTTTTAGTGTGCAAATAGTTCATTCCAGGTTTGCTCGCTACGATCGCTGTGACCGCCATCTATGGACGAATGACTCAACGACACGACACCGTCAAGCATGCATCGTTGGTTGCAGAAAGCCATGTAGTGATCGATGATATATTTTGTAAAAGGAATGATTGGCGACAAAATTTAAAAGAACTTACTGCCTTTTACCTAAGTCCAACTGTATTAAGTTGAATAGATTATGAAACCAACCCTTAGGAATGTTAAGAACTTATACATATAAATTGATACACTGATAAACGGTGCGATAGGATTTTAATTATTTACCATGACTATAAGCATTCGACCAGTTTTCCATTTACCACTGTCTGAAATGGAATATAACAAACATTATTGCGCAGAATATTGTGTAGAGATGAAAAAGGCTCTTCCAAGAGTATAGATCGAACTCCATGTCAGCTATCAGTCACGTAATTTCTTAACAAGTTCTATCCCGTTGTGTATGTCGCAACAGAAAACTTTCTCATAATATCAAAAAATCTTAATTTAACAGGAAACATTACCTAATTTTCAAGTTGACAGCAAAAGGCGTTCATACAGGGTGTTTCCAAAGTTGAGTCATTTATTTTAACTGATTGTAGGGCTCGCCAAAAATCATCAATATAAAAGTGCATGATAAAAGAAATAGTGAAAGATTAAAAAATTTTAAAAAACAAGAACGTTATTACACTGATTTTTTGCAAATGGCAACCTAATTGGACATTTTTTCCACCTTGACTGACCGGTGAAATTTATTTAAATTTTCTTCTCCTCTAAATGTGAAACAGAGTATGTGATTCGAAGACAATGTTTCTCCACCACATTTTAGACAACGGAAGTTCATGAACATCTAAATAATGAGTTTCCGAATAGATGGATAGGGCCGTTACCCCCGAGAGTACAAGGCCGGACAACAGACGCGTGACGTCATCACGAGTAGGCCGGACGTCACATCCGTCCTCGCCTATTCCCGTTCTTCGCGAAAATTTGAGCATCAGCTCCCGGTACTATACTATGCTACACCGTGGAATCGCGAAAAAATCCTTTAAAGGATTTTTAGGAGGTAGATGGTTTTTGAAAAGTCGTGAGAGGAGTATAACTTTTAGTAGATGTACCGTTCAAGAAATTGCTGGACAGGGGAAATAATAAAGGCAAATTCCAATCAATAATAATTTTATTCAAAGCAGCATACAGAACAGAAATTTAACAAGCCTATTGATGTTATTGTGATAATAATACAAAAATTGCAATAAGTGAGACACACTGGGCAGCGAAAATATCTTTCACTCATTCATTTTATTAGGCACAGTCTCTTTACGTTTTTTTTTCTTCGAGTAGAGGTAGCTAAAAGTTTGTTCTGAAAACCTATAAGATATTAGTTCAGCAACTTCTTACACTTTTGTTCAAGAGATCACTTAACATATTACAAAAATTATTACATGTGACACTTTGGGCAGTGACGTTATTTTACATCCAACGTGAATGTGAGAAAATTGGGTGATAGTGTGGCATTGAATGTCATTACTTAAGAAAGCGATTTTTGGATCCATTTTAAGAAGAGAAATTAAGACGTTTCGGACATACGTTCATATCAAGTCTTCTCCTTAAAATGAACCCAAAGATCCCCCCTTAAATATTGACAATCAATTAGGAAACACCTTGTACAAGAGTGTAAATTCTGCAATATTGTGCGCTACGCAAATCATCAACATCAACAGTTCGGGACAAAATCAATTACAATCTTTCAATGCTTCCCCATCTCTTACGTAACACATTCTTATGCAGCACTCTTTTGAAATAATTTTCAATCTCACAGTTTGGAATACCCAATACTAGGTAAGTACAAGACGTTCTGATAATACTGAAATATCCATTGTCAAAAGATAGCTCGAAGAATAACCCTACATCAACACTGTCTTGCGCCTCTAATGGCTTGTTATATAAATGAGTTAAATGTTTTATATGCTGTATGGTAACACTTTCCGGCTTATAAATGCACACTTCTTCACCAAGCAAGAGTTTATTTACTTTTTCTTGTATCGCAGGAACTTTTAGAATCTGCTCCAGATTCTTTATCGTGTTCAAATCTGCCCAGTAATCTTTCGGCGTCCTGAACTTCAAAAAGTTCAAAATAGACCAAGTATTGAACATAGAAATGTCATACTGTCCAACAACTCTATAACCATCATACCAATCAGACACCTCTTTAAACTTATCTATAAGCCCAAATTGATCCAGCAAATGTTTCACTTCCTTGTTACTGAAACCGTAATATTTACTGAATCTATGATTTCCCAGAAACGGATAATGTAGAATATTCGGGCAGTCTTCTAACAGCACTTTTGCAAAATGAGACCTAGCGTTGATCATACCGTGATGTACATAACTGTTACCTTTGAGCAACTGCGTCATTAGCTTTCTTATGAAGGAAACAATAATTTCAATATCATTTTCGTTTATATTTCTGTGGATGCCATCAAGAATCGGCGTGTCGCATCCATCTATGAGTACAACAACATTTCTCTGGAAATGCTTACGAAGACATTTGCACAAAACGTACAAGCTTGATATAATCTCGGCCTCGGTTAGTGTACGATAGTTGGAGTAGTAATACGTGAAGTTTTCAATCTGAATTTTATTTAAACGTTGGCTGCAAAGCAAATATTCGTGTTCTTCAAAGGCGTCTTGGATAATGTGTCTAAACTCGTCGATAATCGACTGGAAAGTGTCACCGGTAGCACGACTGAAGTTTGCGTATATCACAGGATATTGGCCGCAGTATGTCGTGAAAAATGCTGAATCTTGAAAAATCCTCAGATTATGTTCTTTGAATAGATTGCAATTGAAAGTAGTTTGTGTGTCAGACATAGGTTCTCCTCGACCATCAACAGCGATTTCCAGAAATTTCTTCAACATGTCCATGTTGGTGGATTTCCCAAATTGCCTTGGAGCTGTGATGAGTACAAAATCGTCTTCAAGGAATTCTTTGATGAGTAAAGACTTATCAACAAAAGCTTTGGTTCTGACGAGTTTCGAGAAGTCTGAAACGCCCAAATGGAACTTGGGTCCACCCTGGATCTGGAAAAGACGTAAAACACTATATACAGAGCGTGCGAACAATAGACGGAGATATTTTATAGGGTGATTCCTTGTTAAAGATATTAAAAAAAAGTTTCTATGAACATTGGTCCGGAAACGAGTTATCAAGATAAAGGGTGATAAATTTAATTTGTTTTATTGATATCTGCAAATTTAGTATCCCTTCTTTGGTGAATTTGGACTCATCCGTCCACAGGATACTTGTCAAAAAGTCTGGATCGTCCACGTCTGTGTGCAGCAAGAAACGACAAAACCGGACTCGGTTGTCAAAATTAAAAAATCTACATAATTAATTCCGTTGGGCTAAAAACTGTTTGAGGGACCTGGGGTGATAGAAAAAGTGGAAAGTTTATATACATTTATATTAATGAAACACAAAAACAAAAAACTGAAACAAACAACAGTAGTAAAATTAAAAGTGATTCTTACTAAGTATAAAACAAAAAATAACAAACAGCAAAATAAAAAGCAATATGGATGGAATGAAACTGTTCTTTGTTTTACTACTGTTTTTACTTTTTGTTTTGTGTTGTCACTTAGAATTGCTTTTTATTCAACATGGAATTGTTTTTTTTTTGTTTTACTACTTTTTATTTTACTACTGTTTTTATTTTGTTGTTTATAATTATTTATAATTTATCATCTTTTAGCTTACTACTGTTATTTTTTGATTTATACTTATTAGGAATCGCCTTTTATTTTGCTACTTTGTTTGTTTCAGTTTTTCGTTTTTGTGATTTCTTAATTAATATACATATGTATATTAATGTTCAACTTTTCATATGTTCCCTAAATGCGGAGCCCAATCCGGCAACAGCGCAGGCAAGCGCCTCTCATATATGGCATATGCAGAGACGTCTGCGTCATATGGCAGATAGATGGCGGTGGAAATAATGATGGAAAGAACAGCTAAAAATACAATGTTTTGGGAAATTTTTTTCATGAAAAGCGTGCTTCTTCCACACTTGTTTTGTTTCTAAATAACCTATCAGACTACCCTCTAAAAATTGGAAAAAACAGTGAAATCGGAAGTTCTACAAGACGCAACAGCACCAGAAAAAGACCTCCCCTGTCTGCCATTTCAATTTGGCAAACGATGCACCAAACACCCTGTATACTGTATTATGTAATAAACTGATGAAGTCGCATTTGGGCTAGTCCGTCCCAGATCAAAGAAATCAATCCTATGTTTGGTATGTCCTCAAATCCTTATAAAAAATAACAAACACCGCCCACTCTTATTAGAAACCCCATCATAGTCTAGAAACTCGCAAATATTGTCTGACCCGTCTAAAAAGAGGGCATTTTCACAAAAATGAGTTGTGACATGATTTATGAAGTATCTGTGTAATATACGTTGAGCATAGTTTTTATTGCATTAAGATGTGAAATAGTAGTGATCTAAGAATTATGTACTTACCTCATCTTCAAACATCTCGGATTACAAAATATCTCTGCAAAGTACAAATCACAAAATTCAGTAGATGTTTTTTTGTTATTTTCGACAGTCTTTACCGGCTCGTTCCTTGTTTGTATTGAAGGGTTTATCTGTATTGAAGTGTTCCTGGGTGATGGGATCGGTCAGTGACCCAAACTCACAAGTAGGAAACTGCTACATCTAAGTAAAAAACAAATACAACTTTACACTACAACCAGGAGATAGCGCGCAAAAAGCTAAAGAATTTTATCTAATACCACCTCTCACAGGAAAACAATCACTAATAAAATGTTACAAAAGGAGGCACTAGAATATCAATAACAAAGTTAATCGATCCAAAAAAGCCATTCCTGTCGTCAGGCTTCTGGCGTCATCTCTTGAACAATATAAAAATCAAATGTCAGGTGGAGCCAATAAGTGTTACGACTCTGATTTAAATGTAGTTCTAACTGTCACTCAGGAGATGGAGCCACCTCCAAGTTAATATATTTTCAAGAAAATTAGATGAATAATATCTGTCTCACTTCTTATCGTACACTATTTTCATTTAAAAAGTAATAAGAAGAGCATACTATGGAGTATAACGTTCATATTCCGAAAAAAACCACTCCTATGTTAAAAGTTGGTGGCGCCATCTCTTAACTAAACATTGAAATAAATGTCATCACAGGTGGATAGTCTAGAGGTGCTTTCACTCTAAAGTGCTCGCTTCATTTGTGTACAAGAGATGGCGCCACCATAGAGAACTCTTATTAGCAATGACACTGACAGATGACAGTTTTCATATGTTTGGGTTTTCAAAACTCCAATAAATTGGTCAAATTATTATGTGATAGATTGAAGGATTACCAATTTTTAAAAGCACGCAGCCAAAATGTCTAAAAGAAAGGCCGAAGATCACGTTGCATATAGTGAAGCCGCTATAAGAAATAATTTATCGATTGTAGAATATTGTCGCACATCAGTTTCAGCAATTTCGGGGTGTACAGCAGGTAAAACTATCAATTATTCACAATTTGATCACGCATATCATTAATTTATTATTTTCAGGAATACTAGGACTGACAGGATTGTATGGAGCACTATTTTTCGTGTTTGCAGTGACTAGTTTTTGGTTTATGCTGCTCTTCAACGCAGGGATAGATAGTTGGAAGAAGTATTTTATATCAAGGAAGTCCCTATTATTAAATGGAGTGTTCGGTCATTTTTTCACGTATATTTTGTGTTGGACGTTTATTTATGGAATGGTACATGTATATTAAGCCTAGGTTAAGTACAAATTGTTAATTTTATCAATCTAGCTAATAAAACTTAAAGTATCATTGGAGTCTTCCGTTTTTCATGTCGTATCCGCATTTCTACAGGATTCCCAAATATCGAGATTACCTTTTGTACGAGCATTTGAAGTTTCGTATATGCCTTTAAAAACGCATTTCATGTATTCACAATAGGCAAGATATTTTTGTGTACTGCATCGTTTGCAACAGCGTTGCCACGGCAGACGATATTTTCTTGGCTCTTGTGAAAAGTCCATAGATTCCATGGTGTTTTTCATAAACATTTTTTGCTAGTAATTTTTACCTTACCGAATTCTGCAGCTGAATGAAATAAGCGGCCAAGACTTCGATATGACCTATAATTAGTATATTCCAGCGCATTCATTTTTATGATCTTTGGTGGAATTGGAATATATACGTTCCTACCTAGGAAAATTTCTGTCAGGAATACGGTGAGTTACAAAAATGTATATACCTACCTATCTACGTATTGATTATCGTCTATCTTAACGTAGAAATAATTCTATACATAAATAATTTGTTTTATGCTATTGAGTATCACTGGCGTCCTGGCTAAACTTTCTTAATCCCAAATTAACAAAAAAGATAAACATTGGAATGAGTACATCTGAAATATTTTGCAGTTCAAGCTGGCAACCATGTGGAATATTTACAGTATGGCGGCGACTGATGAAAGGAACTTTCGGTCCTTGTATTACGAGAAAGTTGGCTTTAGGAATGTAGAAGAAAAGAAATCTCTTGAAATTCTCCTAAAAGATAAACCTCTAGACCGGGGGAAACTCAAGCAATTTTGTCTACGCTTCTCAGTACCTGCTACATATCGAAATTTGGTATGGAAAATATTACTAGGTATTTGTTTACATACTGTCATGTTTATCCCAAATAGCGCGAATATTTGAATTTTAGGTGTCATCCCAGTTCACGTAGATTGCCATGAATTTATTATGGATCAAAGAGAGCAAGAATACAATGATTTACTCAGAGCGCTGAATGTTATGAGGATCATAGACCAAAACACTCCAAAAACCCAAGTATTTCTTGCCATGTGGCTGCTACAGACTGATAATCTCACGTATGACTTGAACCTTTCAGCTGAACATGGATTTTTGCCCATCGTCCAATCTTTTATGCAATTCTTTGACAACAGCTCTGATGTGTACTGGATGGCAAAAAAGTTTTATGATAATGTACGCAAATTTCAAGCTGATGTGCCAATATTGGTTGAAAGAACTCACATTCTATTGGAGAAGGAAGATTCGGCATATTACAAAAGTTTGGTCAGAAATGGAATTTTGGACAATTTGCCATTAAATAAATGGTTTGATTGCTGTTTTGCAGGGATATTGAATGATTCTGCTTTGGCGAAGTATTTGAAATCTTGGAGGATTTTCCAAGGATCTAAATATGTTTTGATTTCAGGATATGGGACAAAATATGCGGAGGTTCAAATAAAATATTGGTGTATGTTGCTGTTATATTGGTCACAAACCTAAAACATCGTCTTTTGAAATGTACAAATAATAAAGATCTTCAACAGTGTGTGAAAAATGTAAGATACATAGATCTTTGAATTAAAATGATTATTGATTATTTCTGATTTCAGATCACAGAAGAGACAGCTGAGGTTATTGTGAATAAGTCTATAGAATTATGGCAACAATTTAACAGTCCCTTGACAATACATGATAAACCCAAACCATAAATTGCTGTATCGGACTCTTTTGCAGCTAGAATAGGTTTTTGTCAATTATATTTGACATGAAATATAATAAGTTTTTCAAATTTGAATTCCTCTTAACATACTGTTTTATCCATATTGATTAAAATTTTTAAAAATTCATCCCTAGTCATCGCCAGTTTTTACATCAAAATCCTCCCAAGTATTTTTAATGCGTGAAAAAGGCGACTCCCAAACTTGCAAATAGAAAACTTCTACATTGATTTGATGGGCATGTCTAGACAAGGCTTAATATTATGTACAGAAGATGGCAGGAGCTAACAAAGAAATTGCATTCAAAAAAGATAGTTATCCTTATAGAAAATGTTATCATAACAATTATAATTCAAATACAGTACACTCCCGATAAAGGTTGATTCTCGCTATACATTCCGATTCCATATCAGTTTCGTAAACGTTCCATACAATTTGATTGTATACTCAGTATACCTTACGGATAATGTGCATGCACACGCAATAGCCTGCTTTAAGCGAAGGCGAATATTTGATTTCAATAATTTAAGGAATGTATAGTGAGAATCAACCTTAATCCGAACAATATCACCGACCGCTGTTCGGATTACGTCATTGGCCGGAGTGACGGATTAGCTCGAACATTGACTGAACTTTTCATACTAAACATTAGTGAATTAGTGTATTTTTTCATTACAATTCTGGCGTCACCTCTTGAACAATAGAAATAGCGAGTGTCAAAGGAGGTGGATCGGTAATAGGTGTTACTACTCTAGTGGAAAGACATATTTGTATGTTCGGCATAGGATCAAGAGTTAACGCTACTGACTAATAAAACAGTTGAACGAATAACGACAATATAGATCTCTCTGAATGTAATGCATAAATCGACGCTAGTGTAAATTATAGAGCTTATCTTGTAAAAAAAGACTATTCCTTCATCTCAAGCTGCTGGTGTCATCTATCCAGTAACAGCTGAAACAAACGTAAAATGAGGTGGATAGTTTATAGGTGTTTAAACTCAAACAGATTTGCGGTTCGATTCAGCCAGACGTAGGGGATTATATAGAATTGTTCTTTGGAAGATAATTGAAGGGTATATAAGTGATTGCATAAGCACAGTCGCAACTTCATACCTTTTCCAAAGAGATTGATGGTGAACACGCATAGAGAAATCTAGAATGGAGGTTGGTGTGTGAGTGGTTGCATAAATTGAGAACTAAAAGTTCATAACCTAACTTATGACAAGTTATAAGCAACATCAACCGTCTGTCATTCATTACGAAATTTTTGTAAAAGTTAGAACTCACGTTTTCATTAAAAACACGTTTTTACTTTTTTTTATTATTCTGAAAACAAAATGGCCGGTTTGTTCAAAAATCTCCTGCAACGGGTAAGTACGTCAATATCTCGAACACGACCTTTGGCAGGAACCAGTTTTTTGATGTTTGTAGGCCCCCCAGGTACTGAAAGTAGCCACCCCAGCAGCTAAACAGGCAAATTGGAGGAACTTCTCTGCAAGTAAGAGCTCGTCCACCTTATTAAAAACCTTTTAATTTTATAAAATGTATTGTTTCAGCTGCTACGCTTTTAAATGGCCCGAAGGTGCAGCAACCAGCCCCTGATTTCAGTGGAATCGCTGTGGTCGACGACACGTTCAAGACTATTCAGCTCAGTGATTACAAAGGCAAATACGTGGTTCTTGTTTTCTATCCTCTAGATTTGTAAGTTCCATTAAAATAACCAATAATTTCGTCACACATGACTTTGGTTTTGTTTCAGTACATTTGTATGTCCCACAGAGCTGATAGCTCTGGATGATCGAATTGACGATTTCAAAAATTTGGGTGCTGAAGTGATAGGATGTTCTGTGGACTCACACTTCTCACATTTAGGGTGGATGAACACAAAAAGGAGTGTAAGAATCTTACATAACTATCTTATTCTTTGCGCCAACATGGCAACCTTGTCAAAGCACCACTGGCTTCCAGGCGTTGAGTTTCGGAGTCCTTTTTACAGCATGAACAGCAGTATTTCTTCGTTCAAAAATGGATCTGAAAGATACTATCGCCATCTGTCAGGCGGTAGCAAAACACAAGAATGAATTTAAAGCTGTTAGCGTGTTTGGTTCTACTACTGTTTCACAGATGGCACTAGGATCTTAAATCGACCTTTTCAATTCGAAGGCACACATTGCCAGCATTAGCGAACAATGTGTTTTGCTGCTCTCTTTCTTTTTAGTACCTGACTAAATAATAAAAAATATCTTTTTAGGAAGGAGGTCTGGGGAAGCTGAGGTATCCCCTGCTTTCAGATATAAACAAGGTTATATCAAAACACTATGATGTGCTGTTGGAAAAAGAAGGAATTGCTCTAAGAGGTTTATTCATAATTGATCCCAATGGCATATTAAGGCATATCACAGTAAATGATTTGCCTATTGGAAGATCTGTTGATGAGGCTTTGAGGATTATTGAAGCTATCAAGTTTGTTGAAGAACATGGAGAAGGTAAATTTTGAATAATAAAAATTAGAATTTTGCACAAAAACCAGAATCACACTTGACATAGCGTTGTAATTTTAAGGCTATTTTGAGCAATAAGAACAAATCTCCTATTTTTTCAGTTTGTCCAGCGAACTGGAGAAAGGGTCAAAAAACCATCAAACCAGACCCCAAGGGATCTCAGGATTACTTCAAATCAACTCACCAGTAACGTGATATTAGGACTTTAGGTTTATCTGTTGAATGTTTTATAAGAATTACGTGAATTTGGGTACTGTAAACTACTATTCATAATAAAAGTCTGTTATTCAAATACAATTTATTAAAAACGTATTTTTGAAAATAATATCACAGTCATTCATAACTTCAGTGCGAAGTTACAGCATCTTACATAAGTGAATAATGACACCTGAGGATATTCGTGAATCAATAAAAAAAAAAAGGAGTTCATAGTAACAAAAAATTGAGATGCATATCCTCCATAGTAGACGAGCATAACTGGTTTCAAATTTTCGCATAAGTTGATCGCACCTTCATGCCAAAATATAACGCCATTTGCCCCGTCCATTTTCTCTTGAGACTTTTCAACGTTAAACGATTTCGTTGCTCTTAGTTGCAATGTTCCCCACAACGGGTCTGATCAATTGTTTTTGTTGGTCAATCGTCACCACTTCAGGCTTACTCCTCTTCCTTCTGTAATAATACAACCAAATGATGACTGGAAGTACCAACATGACGGGCACTAACAGTAACCAAGATATTTGTTCATTGTTTGAAGGTTCCTCTCTAGGGACTGTTATGGTTACGTTTTGAGAATTCTCGCCGTACTGCGTTACTGCTAGGCACGCATATACTCCACTATCCACGTATCTGAAAAAAGAATGCACATCAAGCATGGTATGCCTCAAGGAACGGCACTAGACCCACTAATCTCTATTTATTCAAAATTAATTGTAACGAATTTGAAGTCGAGATTCGAGAAGTGCGCACTCGATGGCTCACATCTGAGTGATGTTATTTTTAAGTAAAATTCCAATATGTCTATTAGAAATATAAATTATCTTCCCTATGCTTTGCAGTTTTTTTCTATGATTTTTCAAAATCCGCTCGACTTAATGGCCCACGCTGTATAATGGATCGGCACGGGTATTAGGTATCTTGAAAAGTGACATTATGTCGTTTTTTCTAACATTATATTGGGTTTTCGTGACATTATGTAGAGTCTTCTACAAGATGTTAACTTAGCACTAGCTGATGGACACGTTGTGAACACGTTTTGTAGTTGTACGTGTTGCCTAAACGTCATGAGGCTTCAGTTATCAATGTTTCGCTCTGATGTGATGTAAAATCTGCTTTAGAGATGGCATATTACTGGAGGTCTAAGCTGTAAGTTGTATGTGTTTATGATAATTAAATTGCATTATTGACTCAAATACACTTACTTGAGATTCAAAGCTAGAAATTAGTTACGCATCCAATTTTTCTTATTCATGCTGGAAATTACATATGCAAATTTGCTGAATTTAAAAAATGAGAGAGATAAGAAATAATTATACTCACTGTACACTGTTGAATTACAAGTCATATAAATCAAATCCAAGCGAATAACCAAAATTTCTGTGTTATGTGCCGCGGTTATAATATGGTTCAAGATGACACACGGGTTGATGACGTGATGAGAAATGTTTTTTCAGATTTTTTTTTTAATGATGGAACCATGGCTTTGTAGCTATGATAACTTTCAATTCTCTAAATTTTTCCGCATGTCAAAGAAAACATTTATTGATTCAGCAGAAATGATGAAAAAAGATATTAGCAAAACCGTATACAGGTGGATATCATCTAGTGAGTTTATATGGCCATATTTTAATATTCTTGTGGTATATGGCTACACAGGATACTTTGTTAAGCATAGGAACTACATTTAAAGTGTCCTCAACAACCGTAATGAGTATAACTAATAAGGTGCTCCACTTTATGGTAAAACTGAAGTCAGCCTGTATCATTTTTCTCAAAAATGAAGCTGAAGTACAATAGCAATATCCAATACCCGGCAAAATTCTAACTTGTCACATTTCAAATAATAACCAAAAATATAAAACTACTCTTGAGTTGGGTAAATACCACAATTTTGCGGTGATAACTATGACATAACAGCTGATTCGTGACGTCACGGATCTTATAACCAAACTGATAACAACACTCGCTTAAACGGATTGGTAAATACCAACCCAAAATGGTAAATACCATTTCCATTTGGTTATCCGCTTGAATTTGATTATACATGCTATCAGTAATTACACACAACGCGGGCGCTGTGATTTCCCATAATTCTCCTCAAAGTTTTTGAAAACACAAAAATGTAAAAATCGTAATTTATAACTTTGAACATAACCTGTCTTCAGAAAGGACAACATATCGCCTCGTCGGGCACAGCTAATAGATATACTTCATTGTCAGCATATTATTCAGTAAATATGTTCTCACACAGCCAGTATCACTGATTTTATCATCAAGATGCGATCTTGCTATTCAACCAACTTTCTTCTCAGAGATGAAAACTGTAGACTATCCGGCTTTACAAAACATATATATGCAACCAACAATGCGTGTTGTTGAGCTATTCCGCCATAGATGGACGCTCACAACGGTCTTAGCGAGCAAACGTGGAATGAACTATTTGCATCGTAAAAACTACCTAGGCTGTAAGATGACATTTTATAGGTTTTTTACATAATACCACAGCCGACGTCAACTACGAGCCGTGAACAAAGAAATCTGGCAACGTAGGTGGTAGGGTTACTCCCGCCGCTGCTTGCTGCATCGACGCAACTCGTGCTCAAAACGCTGAGAAAACATAACCTTTTCAATTTGTGATTTTGGAATCCCAGAGGCTGTAATTAAGAGATAAGCTTGTTTTCTAAGCTTCAAAGTGTGTGTATGTGTTCAAAGTGATCGGTGACTATAATATATGAGAAATAGACTCCAGTTGTAGTGCTTCTGTGCTTTGAAAATAAACTAAGAAGTGTGACTGTGGCTGTTCGCGCCTCAGGACGCTAAGGATTTCAACTATTGAAAACGTGCAAATTCAGGTTGTAAATTTTTCTTTTTTCATTTATCAAGTATTTGACGCAGACAATATGCCTCGTTGTTGCTGTGTTCCTTTATGCAATGCAAACTATAATTCTGCTTTGAAAACAGAAAGCTATGTTTCAACTTTTCGCTTCCCAAGTACCGAAAGTCTGAAAAACAAATGGCTTATGGCAATTCCCAGGAAAAATTGGACACCTTCAAAATATTCAGCTGTGTGCAGTCGTCATTTTAGAGAATCGGATATCATCCGGACAGAAAATATAGTTTTGGCGGATGGAACAGTCCAAAATAATATACCTTTGAAATATCCAAAATTGAAAGAAAATGCTGTTCCCTCCATTTTCCCAAACTTGCCATCATATCTTTCAAAAACTGAAGCACCCAAAAGAACTGACCCAATGCAAAGAAAACAAAAATTAATTGAGAAACATGAAAAAGCTATTCCGAATTTCGATGTAATGGATAAGATCAAAGATAAATTTAGTTCAAAAATGTGGATTTGAAGTTATTTGTGTTGTTACTGATAATCACCGAATTAATAGAGCAATGTTCAGGAAATTAGCAAAGGATTCATCAGAAAATTATTCTATTCCAAATCCACATAATCCTGATAAGAACATATATTTAACTTATGATGTTGTGCATATTTTCAAGACTATCAGAAATAATTGGATTAATTTAAAAAACCTAGACAAAACTTTTGTATATCCTAATTTTGACAATAATGATATTCAGTATGCTAAATTTGAAAACATTCGTGCTGTAAATCAATTGGAAAAAGAAGCTGTAGTTAAGAAAGCATATAAATTAAATTATAAAACATTGCATCCAAATTCATTTGAAAGGCAAAATGTAAATTTTGGAGATAATTTATTCCATCACTCAACAATAGCTGCTGTGAAAGAATTAAAGTTTAATGATGCTGCACACTTTTTGGAAATAATCAGGAATTGGTGGGATATTGTCAGTAATACAAGTGTAATAAAAGGAGAATTGAAGCGAAACGAATTTTGTAAGCCTATTACCAATAAATATGATTATAGAGTACAATTTTTAAAAAAATTCCTGATATGGTTAGACAAATGGCATAATCTAGAGAATAATAATGGACACCTGACACCAGAAACCTATACAGCTCTATATCAAAGCACGCTGACTCTACCTAATATAATTGAATATTCATGTAATCAATTTGACATTGAGTATGCATTGCCTGGAAAATTCACCACTGATAATTTAGAAAAACGATTTGGCAATTATAGACTTTTATGTGGCTGCAATTACAATGTGTCATATGATGAAATTTTAAATGCTGAAAAGAAAATACGGCTGAAGCATATTTTCAATGAAAAGAAATCGTCATTTTCTTTAGCAGAAATTAAAACAAGGTTCCAAAGCTGCTTAGAAACTCAAGATAATTTTGATTTCTTGGATACCAAACAAAATCCTGAAGTTTTGGATATATTCAATAAAGTATTTGAGACAAATCACTCAGCCAATTGTGACATAGAGGATAGTACTAAGACTTATATATCTGGATATGCTTCACACACTATCTCTAAAAACCTCAACTGCGAGATATGCAAATCGCTAATAGTTAAAGAAAAAGGTTCATTAACAATAAATGCTTATTTTGATCATTTGCAAAGAGGAGGACTGTCTATTCCAACCAGTTATGTACCAATCATATTCTACCATATGTATGCCATTTTTGAATCTATTATTAATGTAGATAGATTGGAAATTTTCTTCTTGAAAAGCAATAATCAAAAATTTATTTTGTGTCAGTTAACCGTGCTCAGCATTCAGTCTGACTTTATATACAGTGAATTTGCTTTAACTTGCATCTGTGGCCGCAATTATGCAGATATTTTATGTAAGCTTTTGTCTATTTTTTAAAATTTTGAATGATTATGTAAAATTGAAAAATAACAGTAAAACTGAAAGTAAATGTATTAAAAACAAACAGGTATCTCCACATTTCCAAGCTGGGCCTGTTGGAACACAGTGTGCTGACACCAAAAAACGTAAACTAAATACTTTTAATTAGGTTAACTGCATTAGCGACTCATATATATCACGATTATTTCGTATTTTTAAATTTTTTAGAGCTATTTCATATTCAGACGATTTGTATCGAATCGAACTGTCCTCTTTTCCAAAATTAAATTTTGTTCTTGAACGTTACACGGAGACGGAACACACAGCCGCTGGCGGCCGACGTTCACAGGTAGCACTACCATGCCGTCCGAGCGCGGTGTTGCCTTTCTTTCATCACGGCTCGTAGTTGACGTCGGCTGTGATAATACTCGTGCCGGTATAACTTGATAGTATGCATCTTCATCGCAATATTAATATCGTTTCTTAAAATCGTACCTAGCGTTGAATATCGAGTACTTGCTGAGATAAGTACTACCAAGATTATAACTCGATATCGACTTGTTGAGATGGCAGTAGCACACTTGGTTGTACTCAATGTCGCACTTGTGCCTGTAGCAGCTCTTGAACCAGAAGATGGTGGGCGGCACTTCGCTTGACACGTTGCACTGGATCGTGAACTCCATGTTGACTTGGCCTGTCAGGTTCGAGATACGCAATGGAGCCACATTGGGCTTCGTTCCGCTGTATCCAGGATCTGAAAGGGGTCCACTGTACATAGTGACGTCATAATTTTGGCATATTTAGGACACTACTACGCCGACCAACAAAAATGACGGTCTAATGTCACACCTAAGTGACGTCATTATATGAAGGCATAGTAATCGCGCGGTGTTTCCAAATGCTCCTAAAAAATTGAGGATGTGACGATGACGCCCCACAAGCAGTGAGTTCAAGAGTGGCAGAAAGGCGCCGAAAATATTCCACTAATCTACCACTCTTGAACCCTCTAATTCCGAGACGTCGTTGTCAGCTCCTCAATCTTTCAGGAGCATTTGTTCAAAAAGTATCAAAATGGCTAATAAACAACTAAAAAACACCGTTGGATCTCAAACACGTCCTCCGATGGTTCACAATGTACCTTAAAGGCGAGGAAGGCATACTACATTAACAAAGGCACGAGGGGTTGGTTGCACCCGATTGGGAAACCGATCCGCATAAAGACTCCCCCCCGTAAATAAGAATCATGTCCACAAGTTCAGCATTTTCGTAAACATGTGCATTTTTTATTTCGTTTAAGCCACGCGACAGACACCACTATTCACTCACGCGTTACCGACTGACACATTGACGGAAAACAACTGAATAAAATTGTACACTGTAGTAAAAACATCGTTTCAAATTCTTTCGCTTTTTTGTTTCCGATGCGATGAACGGATAAGGCGGATTATATCCGTTGTTGCCAAACACGAGCACATAATATTATTATTGAGACAGGGCGGCACTCAAACTTCTAAAGGGCTATAACTCTGTTACTTTAATTTTACCAGAAAAATGTTAAAGGAAAAAAAGCATTTCTTTTGATCAGATCTACTCACTGTTAAAATAAATGACTCAACTTCGAAGTCACCCTGTATATATCAATGAAACCAATTATTTGATATGACAAGTGCGGTTGATATATCTTCGATGACCTTCTCCCTCGTCATTTAAACTCAGGTTGACGTGTTCCTCCATTTATGATTTAATAATTTAACTCAATTTTCGGCACTGCGAAGACAAATTTTCAATCGAGATGCCTGTTTTTTTAAACGAAATTGACATAAGACCTGTCATCCGCCGGACGACGTCACATCCGTCTTCCCCTATTCCCGTTCTTCACGAAAATTTGAGTATCGGTTCGGGGTTGTGCACTGTGCTACATCCTGGACTCGCGAAAAAATCCTTAATGTTTTCTGTTATAGAAAAGTTTATTTTTTCATTACAATTCTGGCGTCACCTCTTGATCAATAGAAATAGCGAGTGTCAAAGGAGGTGGATCGGTAATAGGTGTTAGTACTCTAGTGGAAAGACATTTTTTTGTATGTTCGGCATAGGATCAAGACGTAACGCTATTGACTAATAAAACAGTTTTTTAAAATTGAACGAATAACGACAATATAGATCTCTCTGAATGTAATGCATCAAAATGGCTAATAAACAACTAAAAAACACCGTTGGATCTCAAACACGTCCTCCGATGGTTCACAATGTACCTTAAAGGCGAGGAAGGCATCGATCAAACCCTTAGATTTACGAGACAAAAGGCCGAACCATTTCCAAACGCGAACACACTTGGAGCTGAATGATATACCGTTTCAAAATTTGAATTTTTACCTTCTAGCAAAACTTGTTTATTGTTATGCAGAGGAGTTTCTAATAAATTTGTTATTTACGGGAATAAAACATCATGTAAAATGGCAATTTGAAATATCTGAGCATGGAATAATATTATTAGAAAAGTCATAAGAAAGAGGAATTTTAAACATGTGTGGTTTGATTCGACCAGAGAAACATGAGGGGTTATCTATAAACTTAGATTGTAATGTATAGATAAGTCACTTACGAACAACATCCACAAGAAAGACTCTTCTAACCACTCCAGTTTTATCCTTGCATCTGTACAGGCCGTTGTGTTTCCTATCAACAGCAGCAATATGCTTGCGACCCCTGGTGATGTTCAAACGACTCCATGGGGGTTTGGAATCGCACATAAACCCTTGGAAACTCGAGGTACAGGGCTGAAACAACAACATACCGAGTGTTTCAAATTCAACCCTCACCATTGGGATCTCTTAGAAAGACGTCGCTTAAATGGGCCGTGTCGTCAGTCGTTCCTACAATAGGAATGTTCGCCATTTTCTGATTTTTACTCAAATCGATACAAAAAATTGAGCAAAAAATAGTGATATTTACGTCGACTAACAGCATTTCAAAATCAAAGATCGGCGCGAGGCTGGAAAACGTACCTGTGCGCGAGACTAGAAAGCGTGACGTCAGTAGCCAGACACATCTCGCTAGCTGGCCCGCTGCATTTACCATTCTCACAACAACGTCCCAGTAATCGGTTTGGAGTAGTTAGAGCTGGTACGATAGATTATTATTAAATTCTGTGAACTTTGATGGTGTTAAATGTCGAACAGAAAGTGGTGTTTTGTGCCAAAATGTACAAGTACGTCAAGTACAACACGACAAAAAAATATTGTGAGTGTTCCAAAAGCTGGCTACTGACGTCACGCGGTGTAGTCTCGCGTACAGGTACGTTTTCTAGCCTCGCGTCGATGCTTGATATTAAAATGATTTCCGTCGACGTAAATATTAATATTTTGCACACAAATTTCTTTGACCGTTTTTTAATAACAAAATCCCTCGATTTTAATTTATTAAGAGAAATACGAAAAATGCCGAAGCTTCCTATTGTGGCTTTCTTGATTTTCATTCCTATCCTTCAGAAAGGCTGGGGTATTTCTAAATTTCTACTGTTTCGTGTCAGCGCTCTATTTTGAGGTTATGTTCTCTTTATGAAATTTCAAGCTGATAAAAATTGATTTTAATCATCTGTTTTATGAGCCTTAAATTTCTTAAGATTGGAAAAGGAGAGCGCTGACGCGTAACTGTATACCCTATTCCACAGTAGAATGACAGCTGGTTATCTAGTAATATTTCAAAATTCCCCATATCGGCAAAGGACACATAATTCTGACGGATCCGCCAATGCCATATTTTGTTTTGGTTTTTTGTACGCTTCAGATTCATTTTGTACTTGCTAAAAACTCTTTTATTCAGAAAAGTTTATTTGCATACAAATATAAAAGGTTACAAAATAATGTTTGCTAGATTGACACCCGATTCATTGTTGCCAACGTTGCAAACTAACACAAAAATGTCACTTGCTGATCAGCTGTTCACCTCAGTAGACGTCAAAGCGTGATGGATACTCGTGAAATAGGTTATAGAAATCTATAAATAACCCAGCCTTTCTGAAGGACAGAATACTATGAAAATCGAGGAAGCTAAAAAAGCGCCATGTAATTGTAGCAACGATTGACGATCGGCCCTTAGTTAATCAACAAAACGCCGCTTAGAAAGTTTCAAAATTCAAAGTGGTACTTCCGGATTTTCCCAAAATCGTTATTGTTGTTTTCTCACGTTATTTCTAGTGGGATTTGAAAATAAGTTGCACATTAACATCGCCGCTTTTCCTTTATTTTTACCTTGTATTCCCAAATGGTAGCGTTATTCGGACATTTGAGCGTGATCGGGGTACCAATCTTGACCCTCAAGTGCATCTTTTCCGGTTCGTTTTCGTACGGCGAATCATTTGACATTCCTAAAAATAATCTAATTAATGCTGGTAAATATTTAAAAATCCGATCTCGATCTCTGCGTTTGTTATTCTAATCCGAATCATAAACAAACAGTCGAATTATATCGTTTAAATAATGCGGAACGGAACAACGTGTTTTGCTACACGTCAAAATATAAACCTACACTGTACATCTGCACAAGCCAGTGGCCATTCTTTTAATTGTCAAGCGTTTAATTACAGTGTTTCCCAGAAGACCAGACTCGGTCTAACCAGGTTGTAAGAGGAAGAAAAAAGTTACGAACTTAGAAATCAAACAGATAAAGTCAGTTAAATAGATCCATAGACACTATTTCCCTTCCCTAGTGGTAGTTACCGTCCATGTGATAACGTTGTCCCTTACGACATCTGCGCGATATCGCTGCAGCGAATTATCTTTCGTTTCGTGCAAGTTCCGTGTATATGTTTTTTGCGCTTCAGTACGGATAGATATATAATCCGGACCGGCACGGCACGGGTATCACGTATCTTGAAAAGTGACATTATGCCGATTTTTTTTGAGATTATGCTGTTTTTTACATTATTCTACAAGATGTTAACTTAGCACTTAGTCGTACGTGTTGCCTAAACGTCACTTTGATGTGATGTAAAATCTGCTTCTGAGATGGCATTACTGGAGGTCTAAGCTGCAAGTTCTTGTCTCAAATACACTTAATTGAGATTCAAAGCTAGAAATTAGTTGCGCATCCATTCTGCAAATTACATATACAAATTTGCTGAATTTCAAAAATGAGAGAGATAAGAAATAATTATATTCACTGTACACTGTCGCAAGCCATATACATGCTAACAGTAATTACAGACAACGTGGTGATGATTTCCCGCAATTCTCCTCAGTTTTTCGTAATTTACAACTTTGAACATAACCTCTCTTCAGAAAGCACAACATATAAATAACCCATCATATTCAGTAATGATTTTCTCACACATCAAGTATCACTGATTTTATAGACATGAAGACCAATACACATAATCATCCAGATGCGATCTTGCTATTCAACCAACTTTCTTCTCAGAGATAAAAGCTACAGACCTGGGTCACTCAGCCTCACAAAACTATGCAGCCAATAATGCGTAGTTTAGTTGAGTGATTCGTCCATAGATGGACGTTCACAACGATCCTAGTGAGCAAACGTGGATGAATGACTGTTTGCGCCCTAAAAACTACCTAGTCTGCAAGTTGACATCTTATAGGTTTGTTTTTTGACATTATATTGTTTTTTTGTGACATTATGTAGGTTTTTCTACAAGATGTTATCTTAGCACTAGCTGTTGGACACGTTGTGAACTCGTTTCGTAGTTGTACGTGTTGCCTGAACGTCATGAAGCTTCAGTTATCAATTTTGGCTCCGATTAGCCTATTCCTTTAAGCGATTCATATCCAGCAAACGTCATTATGAAAAAAAATTGAATCGTACAATCTCTCCGATAACCGGCGAATGGGAGTGTATTCAAAATTCAGTCGCCTAAACTTGAGAAATCTGAAGTGGTATGATAGCTTTACATATTGTACTTACCCGAGTCCAGTAAGCCATGACATCCTCCGACTAGCGCAAAAAGACAAACGAATATCGCGGAGGAAGCTCGCCGCATCTTTTACTACCTGTCATAAAAGCAACGGCTACTGCGATTATGCGCGCCGGGAATTTATTTTAAAATCCCAGAGTCTGCCTGCGTTCGATCAGTCTATCCAAACATTTACCGGGACGTCACAACATTAGATCGTCTAATTGTGTACACTGCTAATTTGATAGGCCGTTAACGAATATTCAGCATGCAATCGCCGTTTTCCAAACCGACTACTACTACTACTGTTTTTTAAGCAAATACATGCGACCGGTTCGGTAGACAGATAAAAATGCGCGATAAGGATAATCAATAAGCGATAATACTGTTGATATTGGGATGTTTTCACAGCCTATTACTGATTTTATTGTTCCGGTTGAATATACACACTGAAAAGTAGGACGAAGACTTTGATTTGAAAAATTCCTGTTGTTTTATTGTCGCATTTGGATCATATTTGCTTTAGCATACAGGGTGATGAATTGATATCTTTCTAGCCCGTAGTTGTAAAGCGTGTTTCTTATAGGTACTTTAAATAAAAGCAACACGTTATAGGATTGTTTAAATTATTAAAACACGAACAGATTTTAATAAATAAAAAAACATTTTCGCATAAAACACTAAATAGCCCAACAATTTAATATGGAAATCGAATCAACCTTGCAACAGTCTATTTTTTTAATCTGAATACCAAAAACTGGGTTTGACCCTTAGTACCCGAAAGTTTCCAGTTTATTTGATAGTCCGGTTGTTTCTAAACATTCATACTTAATCCCCAATAATAGTGGAAAAATAGAGATTTCATAGCATTTCGCTAAATCTGTATATCACCCTGTATACAAGTGTATATCTCAAGGAAAATCCCGTTAAAAGATAAAATTGTTTTATGTGTTCTAACACAGATTATTAACGATGAGTTATTTCAGTGATATTATTAGCAAAAGTGTTTAATGCTCTCAATTTAAATAATATGATATACAGTAATGGACAAAACTATATAGACAAATATGAATATTTACCTAAATACCTTTAGAAAACGAATTCATACTTCATTGCTCCATAAACAAATGCGTTATTAGTAGAAAAACTAAATTCCTTGTTTTTAGATTATCCACAATAAACACAATACACGTCTGAATATAAGCACTTTTTTATGAGGGACAAAAATATGTAGACAAATTCTTTTCAGCATTAGTTTAGTACAGTTTCGTGTCAGAAGAGGATAAGTTTGTGTTCATCAAGTATTGTGGAATAAGAGTTGAGTGATTTTAAGACCATGCCGCGTGGTCCAGAAATTTCTTTCGATGTGAAAACTAAGACCATTGAGTTATACAAAGATGATCAACGTCAAGTCGACGTTGCCAAAAAATTGAAGCTGAAGCGTAAAGCAGTTTGGGCAATATTGAACAAATATAAACAAAAAGGTTTGTCCTTCTTAGCTACAGTTTTCTTCAATTAATTTTTTATTGAAGGGAGTCTAATGAATTTATTCATGTATAAGTGAGTATTATGCTATAACCAATTACAGGTATATATACAGGTTGGTGTATTAATAAAACAAGTTAAAAAAGAAATACAGCACAATACTAATTTGTCTATATACTTTTGTTCATTACTGTATATATTCTATTTATTAATCACTTCTCGCTGAATTTAATCTCTTATTGTTCAAGAATAGAGACAGGCTGCTTATGACTCAAAAAGTGAGATCTTGCCAAATCGTTGTTCCTAGCACATTCTTCTTTGCGATTAATGTTGTCTTAAGCCATGTAGAGGGCCCTGGCGGGCATTCCGGAGCTTGAAGCCTGCGTGCAAAGCGAAATTTGGGAATCCGAAATCCACAATATGTCATTGGAAAAATGGCGTCAAGTAGATTGACTCTATACTTCCTTTTACTCTCAATCGTATGATTTCATTGTAAAATCACTACATTTTTTCTGGAACTCATAGACATGGTTGATTCAGGAAAGTAAATTATTCATAACATTGTCTAATAAACACATTTATTTTTTTTTAAATAAAATATATACAAAATACTTGCCGTAAGTAAGCGTAAATTTAAAAAATGCAGACATTACACTCTGACATATGCATCATTTTCTTTATGCCTCTTCTCCATATCCACTTGTTTGATCCTAGTGTAACACGCGCTACCAAATAGTACGATAAAATTGGACATCCACCAAAGGACAGACTTTTTGTCTTGATACCAGTAGCTCGCCAATACTGTTTGGGCGCAGGCCTTTGCCGTGCCCGATATGTTGTGCGTCAATGCCGATGTGAACTGAAACGGGATAGTAGTAACCTTGTGTGAAAATTTAATCAAAATCCGAGCGGTACTTTCCAAGTTATAGAGATGTCAAGGATTAGCTGACGGCCAGATAGACAGACAAAGCGACAGCAGTGTTGCCGGGTCAAAAAAATAAAATTCACCAGATATGGGGAAATTTTACCAGACCTGGCAACACTGCGCGACAGACATACACAGACTTGAGGAAATGAGTGACATGGTTTTTAGTGATCTACAGGTCACAAAATCTATAAAAAACATATCACATTGGGGGTAGGTAATAAAAAGTGTTGTAAGGTCGACCTTGAGGTAGAAAATAAGCGTACCTTTATTTGTAACGTGGTGAAAAATCCAATAGCAAATCCACACATTCCACCAACAAGTATTATCTCCCAAAAGTATGGTTGAAACAAGCCCGAATATGAGGATAGTTCACCAAGTTCACCATTCAGAACCATCAGGGGTATCAGTAAAAGAGTTGCATACGTATTGTTAGCATAAGATAGAGCCCATATCTCACCATTCACTTTGGGAAGCACCTTCTTTGTGAATATGGAGTATAAGGATAGTGATAGTGAACCCAAGATCCCAAAGATAAAGCCTGCTAATGATAGGCTACCTGAAAATAATATTTTGATATTTTCATTTTGAAGAACATCAATTGATAGTTGTTAAATAGCCTACTTTATATATAAAGACAAGTTTAAGTCCTAATTTTATTGATGAGAGATGAAAAGTTTAGAAATAATCAAATCATCTTTTGCTTTCTCTGAATCTTTTTTTGCTTTTCTCAAAAACTCAGACCACAATCACTATTTTCAATTCTTCTTCATCAGATCATATCCCCATTTTCTATCATCACTTTATAAATCATAGTACATCCACCATTTTTTTAAATTAACCATATATTCCTTCTTTTCCCATCATATATTCGAAAAGTAGACATCATTTATGCCAAACAGAATTTAGGTAAACATTGCCCACAGGGGTTGAAAACATGAACAAAAAAAAGGAATTTTACTAAGCAGTTTTCTGCTTCATATTGTTTAATTTCCCCCTATTTTTCCTCAAATATTCTAAATGCTTAATTATCTCATATATCTTACCTGCCAAAGATTCCTGATCCACACCCAACCAGAATCCAAAAACAATTATTGCACAACAGACCATGCAGCTTTTAGACGTTTTTTCGCCCAATATTAAAAATGTGAATATCACATTAAAAATTGTTGTTAAAGACCTGCCTATGTAGTAATAAGCAACAGATGTGTACTTTAAGCATAGGTTGTTTGTTGCTATCATTGAAGTAAAGAGGATTGACAAGGGAATAATCTAAAAAAATACAAGTTTTTGCATGGTGTTTTTGTCAAAAAATTTAATACAATAAAAGTTTAGGCTTCTTAAGTGTCTAACACAGTTTCGACTCATTCCAAAAGAATAATGCACTTAGCTGTTTTACTCAATAACATGCACAACTGCCTTTTGCCATGTCTTTTAAATGTTATTTTGATGCATGGTTATATTGAAATAACTTGAACTTACAGCTTTTAAAGTGTGTGTATCCCAAAGATCCACCTCAGGAAATTTAAACTTTGACGGATAAAGTTGGCTCAGTTGTTTCTTGCAGTAACATATTGCAGCAGTGATGAACGTTTGACTTAATGCTATGAACATAGGGGCATCCAAGTCAATATGGCTCAGCAAAGTTTTGTTGACAAAGACAGTCGTGATAGATACAACCCTGTGGGATGTGAATTTTATTATTAAAAAATGCAAAATATTTTGAAGCAGAAGTGAAAACCTTGCCATGTTTGTCTCTAGAGATTTTATTTTACATTTTTCCAATCATGCTTCTAGTATATATATACACCAAAGAACGAGTGCCTGACCCATGAGCCCATGGTTTTTGGCATCAAAATGGTGATGATTTATGCTTAAATTACTCATAACTCGGAAAAGATCAAGGTTAAAGAAGAGTTACTAAAGACTAGTTTTGGGAATTTTTAAATAAATTTATATGGAAAACGGCTTGACTAACTCCTGAATTATGTTAACAAATCCAACAAATGTGATAATGAAAAAAATTGACTTGGAAAATGTCTGACAAATTCTAGGTTTTTGCCTCGTCTATTGGCTGAAACTGACTATATACATTAGTGAATTAGGGATAAATCTAGACAGGATTGAAGCTATTCAGAAGAATTTGAGGTAGTTTGTGTAGGCCCATATTCAGTGGCCATAACATATCGTTCTTTTAGAAGTCACACTGAAAAAAAAAATATTTTTATTACAACTCACCAGTATCCGCTTACAACTAAGAAAATAGATATATATTTTGATACCAGGCTCTCCTTTTCTGTAGACATTTTCTATAATAATCTAATGGCAAGGGAAGAAAATAGGAAAATCTTGATTATTTCCATCATATCAGATAAGTTGTACTCGTCATAATTGCTGAGTTATACAGAGTATACAAATAATACGAATGAAGTAGGGGATAGCAGAAAATGTATTTTTATATCTCTGAATCTGAAGAAACACACTAAACGACTAAACACAGCAATTTTGAGGTTATGTCATTCTGTTTGTTGTCATTGTCACCTGAGATTGAAAGTGATGGTGTTTGCGTATCAGTTATGCAACCAATCATACGACTCATATACAGGGTGTTTCAAAAGTAAGGCTAAAGAAAATAACGAATTCGAGAAAAAGTAGCGGCGACCATATTTTTCATAAAAATTACTTAACTCAAATCCTGCACGGAATCCTGTAAGGACAAAAAAAAGCTAGAACTATGTAGTTTCACCTGGAAACCAGGTTCACAAATGCTATAGGGAAAATAGTCTACAAAAGTTGCCACGCAAGACAAAAACAAAAGAGTTTATTTCAACAGTTGTCCTGTGTGGCCTCGTTTGCTCAACTCGGACAGATAACAGAAAAGAGATTCCATTTTTGGAATAGTTGACAGTTCCCAACATTTAATCAACAAACTATCAAATCTGACAGCAAAGTGTAAACTACTGCCAAACTGACAAAGCTATCCCAGGGCGTCATATTTCACGTTTCTGTTGCTCCTCAAATGATAAAGTTCGTTCCATCATGCAAATATTTACATTAAAAACCATTATTTTGAAAGAAATTTTTGCAACGCAACATTAAAATCTACGTACTCCTGTACTAATTAGTATCAGATACTAATTTTTCTAGAAGCCGCCTCGTGGACCGACTCATCCGAAGTTTAAAGCTTAAAATTCAAATCAATCAAATGTTGTCTTCAGTTTGAGCAATGATGCACGTTTGATCTATTCCAATAAATTAGGCAACCAGTAATACCACTAAGTATATTATTTCAGAATACTAGAAACGATTTAAGTAAAATGTAAGCACCGATGATTAGCCAGATAATACAAAATTAGGGCACTGATTTAGGGCAAATAGCTAAGCAACTTCTTTAAAATCCCAAAGGTACCTACACATTTCTCAGTAACATACAAAATGAGCTGTATGTATGTACCTATGTAATTAGCATTGTTTAAAAAATTACTAATTATTAAAACCAACAGATCATGTGAGAATGTTTGTTCATGTATCACCTGTCGTTTGTAGCAAATAACTAGTAGATAGTTGCCACAGTCCACGGATATGTAATCATACAAAAAAGATGATTCAACTGGATTTTGCGAAAGTGAAGGCTAGTCTTATGAAAGCGCAAGATGCGGCGATACAGAATCACGGTCGGAGCGATAAAATTCGCCTGAACTTACAGTGTGTACTTTGTATGAATCAGTTACGATCTCGATTGAATTTATAGTACCTACCTTATTTTAATTACCTGTATGGTAAACATGTTAGGTGTTTTATGGTGGTGATATAATGATTTAATAATTTCCGGAGGCAGTTTTTATCAGTTTCAAATTAATTTTCAGCAAGTACAGTTGCATCTAATTGCTGCAAATCGAACTGATTGTGCAAATTATTACCAATTAATTTCTATCTATAGCATCAGTGGCGCAATGTATAGAATAACTCTTTGTAATAATCTCGAATCTATGTCGTGAATGTATGGAGGATATCAGCAATGATTAAAAATTATTGTAAGTACAATACTTATTCACGAGAACTACTTTTGAAAGCCAGCTGTTTTGAAAATACGATAGAGTACGCTATTCATCATCGCTTAGTTATAAAAAACCATTTATTCATTTCAAGACATTCAAATTCCACATTTACTTCAAAATTCAAATCAAGATTTTTCAAAATTCTCTCAAATTCGAAATTGGCGCCACCTATCTGACCAATGAGAATTACCGGATTAAATCATAGGGTACTCTGAAGGCAGGTAATGCGGGCATTGACATTACCGACCTTGCCCCATTTCCGAAATTGACGTTTGGTTTGATTTGATCCCTGACACCCTGACATTTGTGATTGCACGAAAAATATTTATAAAACTTTTGGGTTTGAGCAACATTTAACGAAGTCGTGGCGTAAGAATCAAAACAAAATGCCGAACACGGCTGCAGACTCGACTCCTCCAATAAAATCGAAAAAACCCTCAGGTGAGCGCATATTCTGAGAGACAAAGCAGTAGATTATTTTTTACACCCATTTATTGATTCGCGTATTTAATTGTGAATAATTTATATCGAAATACATTCCTAGACTCGTTGAAGATAGATTCCACATATATTATTCGCATAGGTCATCGGTACATCCTTATTTATTGATAGGTAATTCTACAATCAATAACTGCATAAAATTACTAGCCTCTAGTGCATCACAGTACATTGTATGTTTCATACTTCACACTATGATACAATAATTTTACTTTCAATAGACTTACAAATTTTGGTCTGCCACTTCAATGGGTCTATGTACATTTCCACAATAAATAATTGGCTCTCCTCATTTTAATTGTATTTGTTTTTCAGATAGTGCATTTAAACAACAACGTCTCCCAGCATGGCAACCAATCCTTACTGCTGGTACTGTCTTACCGACATTCTTTGTAATTGGAATAGCTTTTATACCTGTTGGAATAGGTTTGCTATATTTTTCGGATGAGGTTAAGGAACATGTAATAGATTACACAAATTGCTATCAGTCACTGCCTGACGGAGATAGTTGGAAGGATACAGATGAGACTTGCATTAATGTTTTGAAGAAGAACGGGTCGTGTACTTGTAAGATTCGGTTCAATTTGACACAGGAATTCAAGGTATGTTGGAATTTTTGTTTTTATCCATAGATCTGAAAGATATTAGCTCTCTCACTCTCTGAACAAGTACCGCATGACTAGCAATCTTATTAATCTAGACTTACAATATATATGTATATATATGCCACAAAACACAATTTATGGCTAAAGTCGTCTAAACCAAGAAGAAGCATATTTAGCTTGAATCAAAATTATATAATATATATATATATATATATAACTTGAGACATGGTCATTGTTGTCTAGACCAGTTAGGTGAAAAATTAAAGCTTCCGCTTTTTGTTGGGTACTTTGACAAAATTTAAGCAAAGAGGACTCTTTATACTTTTTTTAATTCTCTCTAGCTTTCAATGGACTTTGCCATCATCATCAGGAGCTGCAATTACAATGATAACAGTAGCAACAAAAGTGTAAAATGAATTTAAATTGACTCAACTTACAGTAGTATGTGAGGATGTTG